GCCCCTGGGTGTCAGGGCACCAGCCGTGCTGCAGGTTTCCAGACAGCAGAAAGGATCCAGTGCGGTGAGATCAGCAGGTGGCCCATCTTGGAGCCAACTGTCTGCCCCGATGGAGAGACCAGAGGCCTGCCCGGGAAACAGGGCTCAGGAGAAGATTTTCCCACCCCTCCCCGCCATCACCACTCTCGTCACCTCTCAGCTGCCCCAAGTCCTCAGATAACGGTCCTCCATGGACTGCCCTGCCCCCCACAGGCTGTGTCCAGCCCAAACTCCGGAGCTTCGCATGTTTACCCTCCCAAGAAAAGTGTGAGAAGCCGCAAGGTGCACGAAGGGGACTTCAGGAAGTGAAGCTGGCCCCACCTGCAGGCGGGCATGGGAATTACCAGGGGAGCTTGGTACCCACAGAGACCCCAGCCCCCACCTCCACCCCGAACTACTGAGTTGAGATTGGAGGGCACTGGCCAGAGCAACACCTGCCCATACTCCTGCACCCATTGAATTGAGGAGCAGCCCCTAGGCCTGGCTTTCCCGGGAATTCCTGGAGGCGGAGACCCTACCATTTTCACTGTTGAGCTTTCATTTCTGCCCACCTGACTCCTTCCCCTCCCCAGGCTGCTTCAACAACTCTTCCTTTAGCTGACCTCTGTGGACAGGAAGTTCTGCCTTCCATCCAGCCTAATTCCACCCTGCTTGTGGTTTGCTTTCATTCCTCGGTAGAGATGGAAAGCGGTGGATTATCTTCTCGATAATAACCCTTCTTGGGCTTTAAGACTGTGATTAAATCACCTTTGAGCCACTTTCCTTCTCCAGGCTAAATAATTCCAGTTCTTTTCATGTTCCTTCAGAACGTTACCCCTGGCCTGTAATTAGCTTGGCAATACTTCTGAATCCGCTCCAGCTTCTCCACACCCGGAATGAAGAAGGCACACGAGAGGGTAATGGGAGGGACTGAACTGAGGACCTACTGTGTGCCACGAATGCGCACACACATGCTCACACACTCAATTTAGTCTTCCTAAACTGCCCTTCACCCCATTTTACAGATGAGGAAACAGGCCCATTATGGTTGATGGAGGTTCTCAATCCAGGCCAGATCGTTTCCTGTCATGGGCCCTGTCCTGTGCCCTCTAGGATGCTTTAAATAAGCAGCATCCCTGACCTCACTTGAAGTCAGTAGCAAAACCACACTCCTGGTTGTGACAATCAAAGATGCCTCTAGAGATGACCAGGTATCCTTTGGGGAACAAAAATCACCGGAGTTGAAAACCACTGGGTTAGGGGAATTTCCCAGCGATCACTCAACTCCTAAGTAAGAGAGACTAAACTCAGCTCTTGTCAACTTCAGAGAATTTTCTTTCCTTTTACTATCTCCATACAACCTCCTAAAAGATAGTCTCACTTGAGAAAATTAGGGGATTTTAATCCTACCCTCACAATTAATCCTCTCTCTGTGTCACTGGGATCAACTAATAGATTACTCTGCTCCGGGTTTAACCCTACACTCTCCAGGTTTACCCATACTCGATCTGAAAGCTTTAGCTTAAGTCTACTGTGACCACAGGAACTTTATTATTATTATTACTATTAATGTTCAATCCATTTCTGAGCATCATTAATTTCATTCCCACTGCAGGCACCTGAAAGAAAAGAAAATAGCAGGGGCGCCTGGGTGGCTCAGTCGGTTGAGTGGCCGACTTTGGCTCGGGTCACGATCTCACGGCAAATGAGTTGGAGCCTTGCGTCGGGCTCTGCGCTGACAGCTCGGAGCCTGGAGCCTGCTTTGGATTCTGGGTCTCTCTCTCTCTCTCTCTCTCTCTCTGCCGCTCCCCTGCTCATGCAGTCTCTCGAAATGGAATAAACGTTAAAAAAACAAAAGAAAGAAAAAGAAAATAGCAAACTCCTCCTCCTCCTCCAAGAGCTAAAGGTCCAACCCGGGAGCTAGACGTACAGAGGAGCCGTTCCAATGCTGTACTGGGAACTGCACAGACCACTCCTGCGCCACCCCGAAGCAGCATGTGCGACGTGGGAACACGGAGTCCCCTGAGCAGGTGCTCAGACTAGAGACGCGCAGTGTAAGGAACGCGCTGAGAGCAGCCTGCGGCACCGTGAGGGCGCTGCCATAAACCAAGGCAGACGAGCACTGCGGACTGCAGGCTGTGCGGGGACAGGCACACTGAGGAGATGCAGCGTCGTGGGAGTGGGTGTCTGCGCCCTCCGCTTCCTGTTTCCGTGCCCGAGACCAGCCCGGGCCCCCCGCTGTGCTCCAAGGCAGGTGCCCCGCCCACGGGTCTACCTCCTCTCCTCCGCGTGCCAGGGGTGGGAAAAAAATCCCAGGCTTGTCCACGGTGCTCTGTTTCCTGTTCTCCTGGCCGTTCACATGAAGCCACCCCCTTGCAGCCCGGGCCTGAACTGCAGCTCCTTCTTTCCACTCCATCTGTCAAAATCAGACTTCCTCAAGACCCATGCCAGCCCCTCTCCTTCGGCCCTGCCAAACCGGTCTGTCCGTCTCACCCAAACCTACGATTTCCCCTGAACGTTCCTTCTCTTATCCATTCTCTCAACATATAGATTCCGAGAATCTGCTCTGTCCTGGCACTATCCTAGGCACTGGGGATACAGCATCTTAACAAAAGCACAAAAATGCACTGGGTGGCTCAGTCGATTTAAGCATCCGACTTTGGCTCCGGTCATGACCTCGCAGTTCATGAGTTCGAGCCCTGCAGTGGGCTCTGTGCTGACTGCTCAGAGCCCGGAGCCTGCTTCGGATTCTGTGTCTCCCTCTCTCTCTGCCCCTCTCCTGCTCACACCCTGTCTCTCTCGCAGAAATAAAGAAAAAGTTAAAAAATTTTTTAAGCAGGCAAAAATCCCCATGTTCATTTCTGGGGGGGAAGAGCTGACATTCTGATGTTATTATTTCTACCTGGATTCTTTGACTCACCCACTCCCTCTTTAACCTTAAAAACCCAACCCTTCCTTCAGCCATAGGTGCCACCTCACCTCCTCCAAGAAGCCCCTCTCCCTTCATTCCGGACTTCTATTGCCTTTACTCTATGAGCCATGCTCATAGTGTACGTATGCGTGCATCATGCATTGCCTTTTATTCTCTGTGTGTGTCTGTCCTGTCTCCCAACTATAATGTAAGCTCCCCAGAGGGCAGGAAATAGGTCTGCTTTACCTCTGTAGGCCTGCAGCACCCAACAGAGTGGCATAGAGAGAGAAATAGCACATTAGAATAATAATAATAACTAGTATTGATGTGTGCTTACAAAGGACCAACTGTTGTTCTAAGTACTTAATAAGTATCAGCTCACTCGATCCTGATGACAAGCCTCTGGGGATTGGGGGTGGGGGGGTGGGGCCGCTCAGGGGTAGGAACCCAGGTGCAGGTGGTGGCGGTGGCAGCAGCAGAGCTGAAAACGCGGTACGCCCGGAGACGCAGAGCAGGTGGCTGCCGACGTGGGCTTTGGAGCGGGACCTGGATTGAAGTCCTGGCTCCATCCCTTCCCAGCTGGGTGACCTCGGCCAGGTGACTTATCTTGCCTTGGTTTCTGTGTCCTTTCCAACGACTGGGGATAATGACAGCACCCACGTCACAGAAGTGCATGATGATGACATGAACTAAGGCAGATGGCGCCTGACACACTGGAAGCACTCAACACAGGTGCCTGCTATTATTATTGCTGTCATCGTTGTTATTCTTCCCTCCCAAGAACTGCCCACACCAGTTCCTGTCCCATCCTGCCCCAGCTCCTTTCCCCCCCACTCCACCACCCCCCCAGGGCCACATACCTTCCCACATCGTCAATTGAGCAGAGGAAGCTTTGAGTGCAAGAGACCAAGGAGAGACTCCAGGCGCTACCTTATTCCTCCCTTTCCACCCAACCAGCCCTGAAACAAATGGATCTCAGACGTCACATCTCATCTATAATAACCCAGGCCCTTGAGACCAGAGAGGGGGTGGGAGCCCTGCCTGGGTGTTTCCAGAGCATCAAGGACTCAAAAATAGAAGAACCCAAGGAGAGAGCCCAGAAAACCAGCTGCAAGTGAAAGGCTACCTGTTTCTCGGCCGCTACGGACATCTGGACATGGGCGGGGGACTCTCACCAGAAGGCTCATGCTGCTGCAGGCAAATGCCAGCGGCCTCCAAATGTGGGCATGAAGCAACCGCCTGGGGGAAGCAGCTCTGCTTCTGGCTTGTTCACCCACTGCCTCTGAGTTGTTTGGCTTCCCAGCCTATGGCCTTTGGTGACTCTCTGTTCGGCAGGGTCCCAGGAGTGCTAACCCCTCTGCGTTGTCCATATGGTACGGCAACCCCTTCTCCCTGGTTTTCATCTATGCATCCCCCATCTCTGCCTGCAGCCGCGAAGCATCAATTATACACTCCAATTATGTGATTATACATATTTTCACTAATTAATAATAATTCTTGCTACTCATCTGCAAGTCCTATTGGAGGACCTCAGAGGCCAGTTGAGGGGAGAACTTGCAGCTTCGACACCAAGGAGGGAAGGAGCAAGGCTTGTGGAACTTCTGAGATGAAAGGGAAACTGACTCACCATGAGGCACCCTCTCCAAGTCTGTGACAGAGGTGACCATCGACTCTAAGACTTGCTTTTGTCTGAGCTAATTATGTACCCAAACACATGGGCCCACTGGTTGGTGCTGCTGCCTAGAGAGGTGGCTGGAAGGAGGAAGTAGTTTGGCCCAAGGGTAGTACTTTGTGGATGTCACACTGGCTGATGTCAAGGTCGGAAGTTTCTCAAATTTACAGAAACCTGGATTTTTTTGGTTATGTGTCATGCTGTGTCTTCCTCTCCTGAGACTTAGTAACATGCTGTGAAGAAAAGTTACTTGATGCTCTGGACAAGAGCATTGCTGTGTTTCCCAGAGTCATATTTCAGAGCAGGGTGGCCCTGAGAGATCACCTGGTCCAGTCTCATCGTTCTTCACAGCAGAAGCTTGAAGCCAGAGCCAGTAAAAACTACAAGGATACCTCAACATCATAGCCATTGTCAAATTTAATTATCGGAAAAAAATACTGTGAAGTAAATTTTACTCTCCCCATATTACAGAGAAAACTGGGGTCTTACAGACTTGCCCAAAGTCACACTGCTTCTAAGTGACAGAGCCGTGACAAAATACAGGTTCCGGTACATCCTGAAACCAGTGACTTTTTCACTGTGTCATGTTGATCACACAGCCAATTAGTGGCAGAAGATTCAAGCACTTTGATGCATATGACAAATCCATGAGCTCCTGGAATGGAAGATAAGCCAAACTGACAAAGAGAACAAGACATTCCATCCTTAAGCTGAGTCTTCCAGAAGCCAAATTTCATTTTGATTGGTGCCGTCAGACAGCAGTCCTAGTCACTGAAATGAAAATCAATCAAAGCAGTTTCGAGACTGAACAGACTGATCGGTATAAAGGACCTGATGGGTGCAGGTCCCACAGTTCATCCGGGCCGAGTTAAAGCCTTGAGTGATGTCAGGATTAGATCTGCGTGCCCCGCACTGACAGCCTCACAGGACTGAATCCCACCAGCAGCGTGCTACGGCCCAGCTCCCCAGCTGCCCAAGGGAGCGCTGGGCATGTCGGTCCTTCAGCCTTACCCTCAACTGCAATGGGAAAACCGAGGCTCAGGATTTTGCTCCTATCGACTCTGCGGCCAAGGGCAGAGCTGGCTTCGGTGGGCTTGGAGGGTCCAAGCAGGCTCAGAATTTATGCCCAGGAACAAGGAAACCTAACCAAAGGAGGTGAGGCTCAGAGTCAGCCAATCCACCTACCAACCATCCACCCCACAGGTATGTGCCCAGCAGAGGGGAGCCCAACAGAGAGGTGGCCAGTAGCCAAGCCCTGAAGCATCCCCATCACAGAAACGGGTCTGAGACCCTCTTGCCCCCCCATCCCAGTTGCTCAGTTCCGGGAAAACGACACAGATCAGATGTGAGCTCTCCTCGCTCTCATACCTACATCTTTTCATCGGTCTTTTTCATAGAACTGATTCGCTGTGCTGTGAATTAATTTTCTGTATCATCTTCTACTGCCTCTGTTAGAGGCTGAGAGAGTCGGTATCAGGGTGCTATTATGTACAAATAGATATATGAATGGCCAATAAGTACATGAAAAGATGTTTAACATCATTAGTCATCAGGGAAATGCAAATTAAAACCACAATTAGAAGCCACTACACACTCATTAAAATGGCTGGAATCTGAAAGAATGAAATGCTGAGTGGTGCAAGGATACGGAACACTACTCGTGCACCGTACAGCCTGTGAAGTGGCTTCTCGTCCCTTGCCGGTGGGCATGTAAAACAGTACAACACCTGTGTTGGGAAAATTAGGCAGTGTCTTAAAAACGGTAAAGATACATTTACCTACATACTAGACCCAACATACTCTAGACCCAACATACACTGAGCCCAGTGTACACCAGACTTCCAACAACCCCACTTCTAGATACTTGCCCAAGAGAAATGAAAACATACGTCTACACAAAGACCCACACCTAGACATTCGTGGCAGCTTGATCTGTAATTCCAAAAACTAGACACAGCCCAAATATCTATCAACAGAAGAAGAGAGAAACAAACCATAGTGTAGCTGTACAGTCAGTGGAATATTGCTCAGGAAGAAGGAAAGGAATGAACTGATCGTATATGCAACACAATGCATGCATTTCAAAAAAAAAACAAAAAACTGTGCTGAGTGAAATAAGGCCGATAAAAAGAGTACACAGTGTATGCTTCCATTTGTATGAAACTCCAGAAGACAGAAATCTAATTTATGGTGACAAGAAAGCAATTCCGTGATTGCCGGGGACTGGCAGCGGTGGGAGATATGACAAGTAGGAGCACAGGGGACCTTTGGGATGGCGGAAATGCTCAGATCATGACTATAATGGTGCTTCACAGGAGGGTATGCACTGGTCAAGACACGCTGAGCTCTACGCACTCAAAACAGGTCTATAAATTATACCTCAGTGAAGCTGGGGGAAGGCTATGTACAAGATTATTATGAACAACCTTAATTTGGGATTTCAATAACACCTTGAAGTTGATAACGTTTAAATCTAACCCAAACTTAGAATAAAAGAACAAATGTCAAACACATACACAGATGTTATTATTGGTAGACTCTGTCCTGGGGACCCAGGAATACCTTGAAGGTTGCCCCAGGGAGAGTCCTTAAAGAGATGAAATACGAACAAAGGAGGAATGCAAGGTAAAGAAATGTTTTATTATCAGCCACAGCTTTGCCCCCAAACTCCACTACAGAACCCTAGTAAGCTAACCTGGCCCACGTGCAAGTGTCCATTTGCAGGGCCAGGTGGCCTTGAATGGCATAAAACCACATAGGCCCCACCTTGCTCCCATTGTTCAAATCCAAGTCTCTGAATCTGCCCGGCCCATGTAAGCCACACCCACCAGCACCAGAGGGAAAGGAGCCAGAGATGCGCATTCACCCACTCAGGTTTATTTCATTCCCTAAAGCATCACCCACCAGCACATACAGTCCAATCCCTGGCCAGCACATCCTTAGTCAAAGCAGGGCTCACAAATTCAAATTCCTATAGGGGCCCACAGGTAAGGCACAGAAATGGGTAACTAACTGTGAGAAAAGAAGGGTGTGGGGGGGAACTGAGCATGAAGGCTCCTTAGGATTCTCTCTCTCCCTCTGCCTCTGCCCCTCCCCTGCTTGCTCTCACTTTCTCTCTCTCTGAACTAGAAAAAGAAAATTTAATAAAAGTAAATAAATATTGGCAACAAGTTTTTAAAATTTTAAGCATGGCATGAGCCACACAAAACACATGCTCAGTCCAAAGCAATGAAGAACCACGGGGTTGTGATACTGCCCTAGAGGCCACCATGGGGGCGTCAAGGGCTATATTCGCCCCTGAAAAGATTGCATGTAAACTGCCTGTCAAGACATAAACCCCCTATTCAACATTTCCAGCAAGTTGTTTTCCAGCACATTCTTAAAACCTCCAGTGACTGAGAGACTGACCATCCATCACAGGATGGGTCACTTTATCCTCTACCCCCTCAGCTGGCTCTGACCTTTCCTCCAGGACTCAGCCAAGATGCTACCTACTCCAGGGAGCTTCACCGGATCCCCATACCTAGACCGGATCCACTTTATGTTTGCTCCCGTGATCCTCTAGACTTCCCCATCTCAATACTTTCCATACTGCATTACCTGTCTGTCTGGCACTAGACTCTGACCTCCCGGGATGGGGGGAGCGGGGTAGCCGGGAAAGAGGGTGTGTATACAGTGATTAACACATACAGTAGGTGTTATCAGCTAGCCTTTTCTGATTGCAAGTGATAAAAACCTATCAGGTTCACGTAAGTGAAAAGGAAATGTATTCTCCATGTTAAGTGGCCAGGAAGGCATCAGGCTGGACTCAGACATAACTGAATCAGGGGTTCATACAATGACAGCCATACCTGATCTTGCTCCACCTCCAGCTCCACTTTTCTCTGCACACTGACCTCTGTCTCAGCATCCATGTGGGAGCAAGATGGTGGTCACAGGGGGATGACCCGAAGTGTCTATGTGTATCATTATTATCCACCTCATATGGATGAGAGAACAGTAGCATTTACGTTATTAAGTAACTTGCTCTTATCATTCAGCTATGAAGTGAAGGGGGGCGGGGACAAAGAAAGCAGTCTGTCCCCAGAACCCATGCTGTAGACACCATGTAATCCCACCCCACAAGATGTACCTTTTTCTTGGTCACTTCCAGATGTGGCCTCTTACGGGCAGGTAACCCTTGTCTGATACATTTAGAGAGACATCCCCTCTCTGCCCCCTACGATGTCAACAGTATATAATGGAGAGAACAGAGTAAGTGCACTAAGCAAGAGAATGGGAAACAACATATACAGAGGGTACTGACCCATAGTACACGCCACTCTCAGCACCGGATGGGCAGCAAAGTTCTTTCTCCTTCAGTGTGCTTTCTGAGCAATATCCCTCGGCCGCTGCCTTCCATGGCTGTGTTTGAGATGGACACCGGGGAAGAGGTAGCCTCTAGAAAGGAGCTCTCCACTTAACGAGGTAGTGGGGACCTGAGGACTGCCTTAGATGATGGCATCCTTGCATAGATTATTTGATAGATTGGGTGTTTCTCTTATAGAATAATTCTCTTGGGTCTTTAATAGGCTGTTGGTGTTTGCTTCGGGACTGGTCCAGGGGTTAGGACCTGAGGCCAGAGCTCTTGCTGCGGCATAGTCCTTCAATGTGCAACCTGGCCAGGGCTCTGCCGTCCCCCTAGCCAACAGCCTCCCAGGCCTCCATCCTGGACTCCACCTTCCTAAGGTCATTGCAAACAATGGCCTTGGAGTGGGAGGGGATTATTTTGCTCCTTATCCCCTTGCATGTCTTTCAAGGAGCAGGGGTTCATCACAGGAGGTGACTGGGAAGGGTCAAAGGGACCAACGTGTTCCCAGGTCTCAATCTGATTTCTGCGGTTTCCCACTTTCCTGCCCTGATTCCCACTAACTTGGGGTTTGGGAAAGATAACTGAGCTTTCCAACCCTGCAGGCCTCCATGTTTTCTGGATTCTCAGCTGTTTTGGACTTCAGGTCCCAGACAGAAAGCGGCTCTTTTCGTCAAGCCTCATGGAAAAGCCCTCTGCTCTTACGCAGGCCAGGTTCAACCTAAGCTGTGTCATTCCCCAAGCGTGACTTCCTGAAGGCCACTTCTGTACAAGGCTCCCTCCCTTCAGCCCGGGGTGCAGCGTCTTCACTGCCCCGCCACGCAGGCTGGTCTGCCACTTGGACATTCCCACTCCTGGAACTAACATCTGTACCAGTTTTGTTCAAAAGTAACCAAAGAAACAAAACTATCTTTAGTGAAAAGCGAGGTGCTGGCCCGTTGATCCGGACATCCGGGGTCTGGCTCCAGGCACAGTGGGCTTGAGGGCCGCACACAACGTCTCCAGGACACGGGCTCCCTGCTCCATACGTTTTGTCTCGGGTTCCCATGTTGCCCCTAGTTGCCCAGACCTTTGTCCTCACCAATTAATGTCCGGCGCGTTAAAGTTAGCATTTTTCTCCTCCAATAGCCAAACAAACCCACCCGGGGCCACTCTCACCGGACCAAGCTTCTCAGCATCGGTTGTGGAACTGATCACAATGCCCTGGAGCTGCAGTGCTCTGATTGGCCAGTTCCTGGTCACATGACTGCCTCTGGAGGTGGAGTCACCCTTCCCTGAAAGGAAAGGAATGAGGAAGAAGGGCGTTTCTTCACAGAGAAAATGGCGTGTAGCTGCCTCCTACAGGGCGAGTGGAGGCTTGGTGACCAAAACAGGAGTCCTACAACTGATGGCCAATAAAAACTTATCCTAAATAAATAAATAAATAAATAAATAAAAACTTAGAATGAACACACAGGGGCTCACCCTCTGAGGAGTGGGAAAGTATTCTGGAAGTACATGAAGGCTCTTTTTTCGTCCTTACTCAAGGAAGTCTGAGCCTGCAAAAACGGTGTGTTCTGAGAACATGTTGACGCCAATAGGGACGCCTGGGGGGCTCAGTCGGTTGGTTAGGCTTCTGCCTTTGGCTTCGGTCATGATCTTGCCGCTCAGAAGTTGGAGCCCCTCGTCTGGCTCTGTGCTGACAGCTTAGGGCCTGAAGCCTGCTTGGGATTCTGTGGTTCCCTCTCTTTCTCTCTTCTGCACCTCTCCCCCCACCTCAAAAATAAATACAAACATAAAAAAAAAATACATTAATTGTGAATTCCCGATGTTCTAGAGTGGCAGATTCTCTCTGGATTATCCAGATCATGTGTTTAAGCCTCAGCGAGGGCCCTCTGGCATTGCAGGGCTCCACACAGAACCCATGAAGCCAGATGAGATTACTCTGAAGTTTCCTTCATTCGACACGGCCTTGCCCCATTGCTCTGGACTGAACTGTATCTTCCCCAAATTCATAGGTTGGAGCCCTAGCCCCCAATGTGACTATATTTGGACATAAGACCTTTAGGGATATAACTGGGGTTAAATAAGTCATAAGATAGGGCCCTGGTACAACAGGATTCTTGTTCTTATCAGAAGAGGAAGAGGGACCACAGCCTTCACACACACACACCAAGGAAAGGCTGTGTCAGCCGACAGCAAGAAGGTGACCATCTGCAGGCCACAAAGTGGCTCTGACCAGGAATGGAACCCTCCCAGCACCTTAATCTCAGACTCCCCCCACCTCCAGAACCACGAGAAATAACATCCATTGTTGGAGCCACTCGGTCTATGGTATTTTGTTGTAGCCATATTCCAGCCCTCACACAGCATGAACTCAGGGAACGTAAGCTCATTTTAATGCCTGTCCAAGCCAAGCAGACATAGGAAAGCAAATGTGGCTTTGGTAGGAGGAGGCAGGGAGTGGGGCTGGAGTGGGAGGTCATTAAATACTCCAGAGCCAGACCTGGGTCTTCGGATGTGCACATGTGGCTGCGCTTACCAGCCTCGCTGTCTCCGGCCACTGGCGGGGATCCTCAGGACCGTCGCAGCGGGGCCACCACGCTATCCACCCCGATATAAGCTAGAAAGGGTGTGGGCTCACTGCCACTATCCACGAGCCTCTTCTGAACGCTAAGCTGGACTCCCTAGAAGCAGATCCTGAGAAAAGGAAACACGTGCAAGGTATTTGTTAGAGGAACGCTACCTGGGGAAGCCAATCAGGTATGGGCGCCATTAGTTAGCACAGGGAAGGGTGTGCTTTCAAGCCAAGTCCCTACCTCAGCTTGATCCCATGGAAAGCTCTGGAATGTAAATGACACTGTAGAGTTTTTTTCCCCAAGCTGAGGCAAAGGTACCGGGCTTCTGTGCCACCTGGAGGTGGCGGGTGAGGGTGAGGTTGCCTCGCACTCACATCCAGGTTGCGGGGTGAGGGGAGCCCCAGGAGCCCCCAGCCGAAGGCTGCCTGTGCAAGTTGTGAGCCGCAGGGCACTCAGGCAGGGGCCTGGATACACAGAAGCATGAGAGGGACACGAGGGGCCCTAGGCAGGGCACCAGCCGTGTCCACGACAAATGCAAAAGCACAAAGATGTTGTTAGTGCACCTGCCCAACTCCCACGGGAGCAGGCACCTCTAGTCCTCCGGGGTCCTAACTCTGAGGTGCCCTTCCACCCGCTCCGCCTGGCTCCCAGCCGGCTGTGTGGTCTCCCCTTCCTTCCATCTCTGCAGACTGCTCCAGACGGGCCATGAGGTGGCTTGCTGGAAACTGCCCGTCCGCCGCCAGCCCAGGGCCCCCAGCGGCGAGCAGGACACAGAGCCCTGACTTCCCCCACATGTGCTGCTCTGCCGGGGCTTTCCTCTCAACAGATGGATGATGGCAAGTTCACTTTCTGTATCAGTCACGTCACAGATCATTAAGCATATTGACAGAGAGAGGAGGCAGCCCGCGTGCTCGCAAAGGGGTGGGTGTTTTTCCGCTGCTGAGATGGGAGGGCCTCTTCTGCCCTGTTCTCGGTCATCAGGAGAACTGCCTCCCTCCACGGCCCAAGGCCAGTGGCCCTGCCTGGCTCCCTAGGTCCACAGGGTGGGCAGGGTTTATGGCAATATATCTAGGTCACTATAAGGACCCTTCCACAGGCCACCGCTTTGTTCAGGGCTCTTCAGAAGCCAGAGACAGGAGGGGCTACCAAAGGGCAGTCCATCTCTGAATTCGTCCAATAGCAAAAGGTGACCTAATATGTACTCAGGGCCTCAACCTCTATAGACAGAGACCCACACCTCCAAGGAGCCCACGGGTTACCCCAAGGTCATGTCTTTCAACCTCTGTCTCTGGACAGGACCACATTCTCTGATATCACAAGGCTTTCCACACTTTCTAACATTATCTCCTAATCCTCCAAAAAAACCCCATTCAGTTCTTATTTTTAATGATATTTTATTTATTATTTTTTTTAAGTTTATTTATTTTGGAGAGAGAAGGAGAGAGAGAGAGTGAGCATGAGCGGGGGAGGAGCAGAGAGAGAGGCAGACACAGAATCTGAAGTAGGCTCCAGGCTCCAAGCTGTCAGCACAGAACCTGATGTGGGGCTTGAATTCACAAACCGCAAGATCATGTCGGGAGCCAAAGTTGGACCTTTAACCAACTGAGCCACCCAGGTGCCCCAATTTTTTTAATGTTTATTTATTCTTGAGAGGGAAGGGGGGCAGAGAGAGAGGGAGACACAGAATTGGAAGCAGGCTCCAGGCTCTGAGCTGGCAGCATAGAGCCCAAAGCAGGGCTTGAACTCACCAACCATGAGATCATGACCTGAGCTGAAGTCAGATGCTTAACCAACTGAGCCACCCAAGTGCCCCCAATTTATTGGTATTTTATAGAACTGGCCTAGAGAAGTCCAAGGTCATGCAGCTAAAAAGCAGCAGGGGCTGGGTTTCAAACTCAAGACTGTCTGGCTTTACAGTCGGTACCGGTAATTGCCATGCTATATTGTCTTTCAACCGAGGCTCCCTCTGTAATCCTGTTGAATGGTCTTCAAATATATGTGCTTTCTGATATCTAAATTAATTCCCTCTAGTTGTAACTTAAACCTACCTCCTGTCTCTTCTATGCAGTCTACCTTCAACGGAAACTTCATTCACTAATGGACACATGGTGGCTCCACCCACTGTCTTTCCTTTTCCAGTTCACTTTTCATGTTTGAACACACGTGGAAGAAGATGGAAGAAGAGAGGGGAGGGAAAGAAGGGGAAAGGCTTATGTGGTAAACAGAGTAATCCCCACCCCTTAAAGATGCCCACAGCCTCGCTCTCAGAACCTGGGAACTGCTACTTTCCATGGTAAATGGGACTTTGCCAATGTGGTCTGGTTAAGGACCTTGAGATGGGAAGATTATCCTGGATTATCTGGGTGGGCACAGTGTAGCCATAAGGGTCCTTAGAAGAGGGAACAGGGGAGTGAGGATGCCGGCACAGGTCAGAGAGGGAGATCTGAGGATGCTACACGGCTGGCTTTGAAGCTGGAGAGAGAGGCCACCAGCCAGGGCAGCTGGGAGAAGTCAGGAAATGGGTTTTCCTGTCGGAACCTCCAGAAAGGACACAGCTCGGCTGACCCCTGTCCCTGAGCCCAGTGAGGCACTGGGTGTGGACTTCTGACCTCCAGAACTGTCAGACAACAAGTCTGTGTTGTTTTAAGCCACGTGGCTTGTGGATTGTTAGGGCAGCAAGAGGAAACGAACCCATGAAGGAAAACAAGACCGTTGCCCGGACAGTTAGGAATCTATTCTGGTGGCATATTTCCACAGAGTCAGAAAATCTGGGAGGAATCCTTGGAGCTCACACAGCCTTACTTTCTCATTTCATACAGGGGTCAACTCTCGCATTGACCATTCTTCTGTGCCTCGGTATCTGCACCTGTAAAATGGGCATGTCAACAGCCACCTCTCCGGAGTTTGTGAGCAATGAATAAAAAGACTGTTCCCTAAAGAGCAATTAAAATGTAAGCTATTGTCACAAGGAGAAAGAAACCCAAAGAGGTTAAGATTGCCCAAGGTCATATACTTAGCTGGCATCAGAGCCTGGCCCCTGCTTCCAGGCCAGTGAATGTTCTCCACGATTCTCCACATTTAACATGCCACTCCATTAACCAACAAACAGATATTTGAGGTAGGAGCCTGTAGCAAAGGGAGGGTGGGGAAAGCTCTTGAAAACATTGCCATGAGTCCCTCTAGAACCAGCTTTCAGAAGCCTGGACCCCTGTCTGCTGAACTTGACCCCGCAAGCTGGGGCAGCTACCATGGTCCTAGCGGACACATGCAATACATTCATGGGCAGAGTGTGACAAACACAGAGGCATGCAAATGCTCCCTCCCCTCTGCCACAGTTCAAAGAGCTCCCTAAACCATCCCTACCTCCTTCTCCAGGAAGTCTTCCCAGAGAGATAGAGAAGAGTCATCTGCTCTTCAACCTTACCTTCCTGGACGGGATGCAGCCGTGTTACCCTGCACACAGTGGCTGTGGTTGCTGCCTGTTCTCTGCACATTGTCACTCTACCTTCTGTCTGTATTGTGGGGGTCTGTCGGGGGGATTGTAAGCCAGGATCTAGGTCATCGGGGCTCCCTCGGCACAGAACCCAGCCAGCCCGCTGTGCAAATTAGAAT